AAGAAGAATGAATGCAGCCCTTGCGCTATTAAAAACAAAAAGCTTCTTACTTCCAGGAATGCACTGGCAAGACTCCACAAGAACAAGATTTAACTTTTGAGCATGGCAGTGGGCATACAAGGCTAATGGGTGGTCCTCACAAAAAAAAAAAAAAAAAAAAAAAAGAGAGAAAAGAAAAACCTCTAAAAAATCATTCAATAGTACATTAATATTATCTTATACCTTATGCCTGATTAAATTCTTGCAAAATGCTCAATTTGCAAGTCACAATACATGAGAAAATATGGAAGTCTTGTTTGGCTTTTACAAATTGTCATTTAGATCTTTATTTAAGCCATATGAGTTTCACTTATGTGTGAGGGTGTCTTATGATTCATTAGCCAAACCTGAAATTCATTTGTTTTGCCTGTATGTGAGAAAGGATTCACAAAATAGTGTTATAGAACGAGTCAGTCTATTCTCTAAGTCAGTCAGCATAGTTGCACACTTGGATGAAGATGGAATTTTTATTATAATAATTTTGCTCAAATGCAAATCCAGATCAGTTGTACTAAATACGTCTTTGCTAATTTTCTGGAGTAAATAGCAAAAAGTAAACCTTCGAAATAGAGGGGGTTTGTAGCCTTTTTTCTGTACCTATAAACCTTGTTTTGTTCCACCTTGTGGATGATGTCACCCCTTTATTTAGATGACTTAATATGCTCCTTAACTTGAACTGTAGTCCAAGAGCAGCTATGGGAATAACATTGTTCTGTAGCTACTTTCCCATTTGAAAAACCTCTTAAAGCTGTTATCCATCTGCATTTCGCTCATCGTGTGTGAAACATCTATACAGAAAACAGTAAGCTCTCTGTTTCTTACAGTTATATTGCAGTCTACAAACCAATTTATACTCCAGGAGAATTAACCCCTCCTTTTAGTTCTCCTTCCCTCTCTCTGTTTTTTGAGCTTTTTGTTTGGTTGGTTTTGGGGGGATGTTTTTAGGTTTTTTTAATCATAAGCTGCAAAAACCAACTTGGTGTGATAGCTTGAAAGAATTCCCCCATCTTTACTTTCTAGATGTCTGGGTGGAGAACGTAACTTTTATTAAAATTATTGACCCAAGCTGTGATAACTCTTATCTATCTATTACTTGAAGATGACTGGTGAAAGTATCAGCATTGAAGGTTAGATGCCAGTTTCTAAAAAAAACTTAAAATGTTTGAGGGTTTTATTCTAGTTCAAATTATGCCCATTCTCAGTTTCATTTCTTATGATTCAGGAAAAAGCTCTTATTTTTGTCTAAGAGACTTTAAGCAAGAGAGAATGATTTGCCAAACACAGTGCCTCAACATCATTGCAGGTTTCCCCCACAATATAGAATGGATTTATTTGCCTTGTAACAAAATAGATATTTAACTATAGTCACTCCCCTTAGGCATTCTTTTTTAAGATCTTTCTCTGACACTGTGTTAAAAACTGCATCAGAAATCAAATAGGGGAGTTCAAAGAGAAGAACTATTACTGTGCACAGTAGCAGCCTAGGGATAGACAGAGAAAACCAGATACAGGACATTTAGTACCAGCTTGAACAAAATGTCAGTTACTAGCAAAGGAATAAGGCTGTACCGGCAGAGAAAGAGGGAACCAGAAGCTGTTAGTATTGTCCTTCTTTTATTACATTCTAGAATTTCAGTCCAGATTTTCTTATATCTGATTGGTACAAAGGGAAGGAGCTACATTGGAGCTAAATGAAGTCCAATGACTAATATCTTAGCATGGGGGAAAAGGTTCAGTCCATTCTTCTCACAACTCACTGTTCTCCCATGTTTAGCCCATTTGTAGGAAGCTATACAAACCACAGAAAAGATAAGACCTATCACTGCACTGTACCCTATTGCAGGTGCTCTCAGTGGGCATACAGAATTTAACCATCACTTCTTTTAGGCTAAAGTAACCTACTCATACCCACAGACCTGTTCTCTCTAATTCTCAAATAATGAGGGAGGCTCTACTGATCTAGGGCAAGAAAATGTAATCCTAGTAGCAGGAGTGTCTACAACTTACACATGATTTTTATGAAGAAGTAGGGTGGAGCTTTGATAAGACTCTGTCCTTTACAAGTGAAACCCAAAAATTAAGCCAAATTAAGTTAAAGATAGTACTGAGGAACACCTTCAATCATTTAAATAAATCTCTCTCAAAAAACCCCCAACATGTCCAAGGAAGTCAGGAACTTTCTGGAGAAGGTATCATAGAAGACAAATTAACTGAAAAGTAATCAGAACAGAGCATTTTTTAAAAAATACAGCAAAGTGGAAGAACTAGATTATGCAAATGCGAGAGTAAAATTAAACCTTTTGTCTGAGCCAAGAGCATGTTTCCTAACATCTGGAACTCTGCCAATTAAATTTAAAGTAAATAGTCATATTGCTCCTACAGACAGCCAAAATACCTTCAGCAAACCTGATTTGGTAATCTGATTTGACAAGTCCTATTATCTACAGAACACTCGCTGCCATTAATAGCTCCATTCATTTCAAATCACTTTATACAATCAAAAAATGGGTAAAATTAAGAGGAAAGACACCTGTTTAAATTGTAACCAAAACTATGTATAACAACAACTTATACTAACTTCTTTCTCAGTTGTATTCAAATGTGCCTACAATCAAATCCCATAGTATTTATATATAAACTGTACATCACAGAATACTACTTAGCAAATATGACAAAATGAAAATATAATTTCTAAACCAGATAAATATACTAATAGGTTCTGTACTGTGAACGTACAATAAATAGTAGGCTTTGTCATAACAATGGAGATAAATGTCAACACTGAGAAACTTTCACAGAGATGACGCAAATACTCAGGGCTGTGATTTTATTGCACTGTATTTTCAACAGCTACATCACTGAGTAACAGAAAATTGAATTGCTATTGGAACCAAACAGGAAAAAAAACCCATATCTTTATGTCCTTGAAGCCACTTGCTTCATGCAACTCTCTCTACCCACTACTTCAGCTGCTGCAAGAAAGCACTGGACAAATCTACTGTGGAGGTATTGAAAGAGACAGCTAACTGTACTAATAACTCCTTCTTGAAGTAAGAGAGGAAAGGTGTCCTCAGACTCAGTAAGAAGGAACACACGCTCCAGTAGAATAGACACACTTCATCATCTTGAAGGAAAAATGCTAGTTTCATCACTACTGAAAACAAGAGCAATACCCATTTCTCTCTTTTGGCTTCACTTGCTACTGATGAGATAGTATTTTTTTTAATTCCTCCAGAGTTTAAAGAAACTGCTAACCTGCAAGAAGAGTGAAAAGAACCACAGGCAAGAATGTATCATTCAGTTGCTCATCGACTTCATTAAACAGGGTAGAGAATGAAATGAAGGTGTATAGGCGAAATAAAGCACTGTTTTGCATTCTCTGATAAGTGAAGTAACAAAAGGGGATTTTATGAGACCTTTGTCTCACAACTCATACTTTAGACTGCAGATTCATATAGTACAGCCAGTTACAGGACAATAGCAATAGCCAACGTTGCTAGGTTTGGCTCATGATCTGAGCCGTTTGCTCCCTGGTGTGCAGGATTGAGACAATATATAGTATCTTGGCACCTGCTGCTAGCAGCTACTTTGGGGAATTTAAAATTTAATTAAACTTCATAGTAATACATACAAGATTTTATGTAAGTTCAAAAAGCCCATGTAGAAAACTTAATATTTCTATTTTCCTTCCCTTTCTAGTTTTTAATCCATGGACAACTGATGTCCGTTGAAAAAAGGTGCCACACTTTCATGTAGCTAGTTGTTTGGAAACATTTTACAACATAAACAATTTGTTTCTAGTGAATTGGGAAGAATCCCATGACTAGCGTGTTTGCTCTTTTCTTAAAGCATAAGGCCACAGTGCTGACAGCAAAACTCTGTAGAACTACAAGGCCATCCAGTCACCTCTGCTCTGACAGGACTGTGAGTTGAAGTTCCCTGAGGCTCCCCAACCCTGCTAAAGAGATGCTACTGCACGGGTGATTCAGTATGCCAGTAGTTATACTCCCAGATGATCAGAAAATGTTTTGAAGCCCCTCTTCCTACATAAGTGCCTTTTAAAAGTAGTAATTTACAAGCAAAATGGGAAAAAAAAAGTAGAAACGTAGGGTGGCATATGGCCAAACTTTTGACTTAATTTCACCACAGGTTGCTTTTTATTTACAAGGGCTAATCCCCTCTCAAACTACACAATAGAGCAGCCATTGGCAAAGGCAGGCAGATAAAATTGGCATGCCTCTGTATTGTTCTTGCTAATCTGAACCATTAACAGAAGGGTGAGAAGGCTAGTTTTGTCATTTAAACAGGCTTAAATCCTTTCTCCAAATGAGCTTTTGTCTACATAGAAGAATGAATCTAGGAAATTTAAGGGGTTTCTGTTAGTGTTGCATTCTCATGTCGACTTGGCTACAGGAATACCAACCTGTTTATTTGGCCCTCATACTGTAAATGCAAGAATTATTTCCAGCTGTCAAAACCAAAAGGGGTTCAACCTGATTAAATTATTTCTCAGAGGTGAAACAGGATGAGATTATAAAGTGCTAAGAAGCAACTATTTGAAATCCTGAACTGCACCTGTGCAACTAAATCTCCATTTATACAGGTGCTTTTCAAATTGGATTTGAACCTTTAAATTCCCTGATTCATCCCCGGAAAAACCACAGAAGCTCAAATAACTAATGAAACTCAGAGACAGAAAGGCTTAAAATAGTTTCAAGCTGTGAAGTAAGGCCTAAGACTAACTATGTTCTTTGATTCATTGTTGATGCGACATATCAAGCATAAACATAAGTTTGCACAACCCAAATGCCAGAGGTGATAGGGTAGCCAGTAGCTAAGTAATTATTTTTTTCTTTAGCCCAGGAGAGGTCATCACCTGGCCTGTAAGCACAATACATAGCTGAAAACCTAGGGAAAATAAAGTATTGGTTAGAATGATTTGGTTTTGTTTTGCTTTTTACCTGGCACATCTTGCGCAGATATTCAATGTGACCTTTGCTTGAGGCTCAGCCATATAAGCACTTCGACTTTGATTGAATTTACTCCCAGAAGACATCACACTTGTTACTCCTTCCATTCTTAGATCATCAAGATCCTCTGCAACAAGACAGAATGACTGGATGAACACATAATTTAATTTTGTAGCAATAAAGATGCTTCACCTGTAGAATCACTAAAGAACAGAACAACCCAAAAATCAAGAACACACACAGTTACTTGTATAATAACAGGAAAAAAATTTTGAAAGGATTTTTTTTATATATATTATCACCGTGTTACAAGGGGTTCCCTGAAAAAAATTTAGTCTCATTTCCACTTCAAACAGCACTGCATATTTTTTCAATCTTTATTTCTCCAATTCATTTATAAAAAACTTGTCATCAAGAGACGCTGTCCAACAGCTCCATTTGATGTAGGGTAGAAGGGAAAATTCGTATTTTTTTGTGTGCATGCTTCTCCTCTGACTTTTTTTGTCTGCTCACTTAGCAATGAAAAAATAGTGCTAAAATAGAAGTGCTCTGCTAAACCCAGGAAATGTGAAATGGATACATATATCACATTGAAAGAGTCCATAATGTGCATACTCATGCCCACAATATTATTGTAGTATTTGGGCAACTCACAATAATTGGATTTTCTACTACTGCAACATCATTCCCATTTCGCAGAAAGACAGCTGAGGCTCTCAGTTTTTTTCCCAGGATCTCACTGGAATAACATAGCTCAGATAGATTGTAAATTAATTCTCTTGGCTTACAGTCAGGACATTCTTTAGGGATAATCTGTATATTTTTTTCCAGTATAAAACAGGCAAGTTCTGTATACATAATGTATCCATAAAGCTGAATTTTCAGTTGTTTATAATTTGGTTAGTTTCTAGCTAAAATGTAAACAAGCAAAACACTGACTAGCTGTGAGCAGTCAACCATTCCATGTACTGACTGATGCATGTCTTACAGTAAATAGTATGTAATCATCTAAATCATCTAATTAAAATGTCTTTCAGATAATGCATACACATGTATTTTCATATATTGATGTTTACAAAAGAAACCTGATGCTAAAAGATCTGAGTGGAGCAGAAGGTGGATAAAAGCAGACTTTAAATTGCGACATCAGATGAGAAGAAGTCACAGAGATCTTTAAAATCAGAAAAGGCAATGTTCAATTAGAATTTAAAATACACAAGTAGTCATTACAGATACACAGTGGAGTACCAGGCTCCTCTTCATACACAAAAAGAGTGCGATACAACCCCCTGCATTATTACCTGAAATATTTCTGGCTGTCCTCTATAGTTCACAGACACTGCGCTAACCACTGTGCTTCAAACTCTAGGAAGTATGGTCAGAACATCAGAATTATGCCATGTTAACAACACATTTTTTGGGAGACACCCATTTTAATAAGTAACATCTAAACACAGCAAAGCTAACCTTAAATTAAATTTTTGTGACTAAAGTTCTTGAACTAGATTTTCTTATCTGTAATGTTTTATTTTACTGCTTAAAAAAACTCTCCTCCCTTCCAAAATTCGCTGGCCTGGTGATATAAATTGACAGTTCCACTGACATTTCTGGCATTGATTTACACAATTTCCACACTTTTTTCTTTAAATTTCATCCATGGTTAATATACAAACTAATTCAAAGACTTGGAAGGCTATATGATAAAGAATTATTAAATCAATCATCTATGAGTCATTTCAAAAAAGGTATTACATATGCGGAACACATTATGTATTTAAATAAATACAGTTTAATTGTGCTTTAAAGAGGTGTGAAAAGTTCCATATTTTTTAACAGATGTAAACCACTGGATGGATTACAGTTTAAATTAAATTGAAGCATATACCTCAGGGTTTTTTTCTCCTAAACAGATGTGATTTCTTTGAATGAGGTTTTCAACTGTTCTCTGCTTGATTAACTTTTGGCTCTCAGATGACTGAGACTGTTCCAACAGAGCAACGACATAGGCTGCCCTCTATCACACCTTTTACATTTGAATCTGTATATCAAAACCATGCCTTTTTTCATTTTCAGTAAATTACCAACATTTTTCTCTCAAGAGAAAATTAAGTGAAATTTGTGCAAGAAACGTGTATTTCAGAGGTGCCTACAGTTGCAACTAACAGACAAGTAGGCAGATTACGCAGTCTTGATTTATTGTCACATGCTGTTAGACCAACAGCAGTAATGTGCATGCTAAAATGCAAATTAAAAAACAAAACAAAAAAACCCTACATCATAAACAACTGTTAATTTTTCTCAAGGAATTTTCATTGATCTAATTCAGCATTGGGTGGAATTTGTCCACAGCAAGCTACAAAAAGCTGTTAATATTCCAACTAGACAGAGAAATATAACCCCATCTATCAAATCCAAAGAATAAATGCAGCATTTGATTTAACTTTCATTACTGCACTTCTGCCTTAGTATTTAATTATTTCAATTTCTTCTGGATGCCTCAAATTTACAGTGCAGATACTGCCCTCTCTTCTCACTAAAGCAACTGGTCTTTGAGAAGATGACTGGTTCCCAATACCCATAACTTTGAATGGGAATTTTTGAGTTGTAAGCAAGTTTAAGTACCATCTAGCAATCTTCCTGATTGTCCACATTCATTATTGAAGGCCATTAATTAAAAAACAAACAAGCAAACAAACAAACCAAACAAAAAAAAACCCCTAATAAATCATATAGTAAATTTAATACTAAACTCTGTGTGTGTGTGTATATATTGTTCAACAATCGATGTGTATTTTGCAGAATAATATTTGTTCATAAATAAGGATGTTATTAAAATAAATACAAACAATGAGTGAAATAATACATTTTATGAATTAAAAAAAAAAAAGCTTTCCAAAGGTTCAGATGTTTCTATGTAACAATTGGAAAGAATCAGTCTTAGCAAAAAAGGATTTCTTTGAGAAGTCAATTCAGTTACAGGGTGTGGAACACAATCTTTTCTCTTTCTTTGTATTCTTTGCTAGACCAACTAGTGATGATACAGCTCAGTGGTTCAGTGATTTTATTGAGCAGCAATGAGGTAATGCACTGAAAAAAGAGAGAAAGAAAAGCCAAGTTGATGACTGCTTATGTGATGGAAAACAAGAATACTGTGAAATTTCTCAAGTCCTTAGAAAACTGTTACCTATCGTTGTACAGTGATAGGCTAGAAGTTCACATAAATGAAGCAACAATTGTGCTAATAAAAGTTTGTTATTTTAATGCATGACTGTACACAGTATTTCTTTGATTTAATGTTAATTGTCTGCTATTCTCTACATGAATAGGGTATGTCATGACCCCACCTTGATCCTATAGCAATTTCCATTAAGCACGTTCTGTGTAGTAAAAAAAAATACCTACTAAACAAACAAAAAACCCTTACACTTTTGCCAAATCAGAAATTCACCAAAATAAATTCACACAGCTGCAATCTTCATGCATTGCCATAATAACAATACATGAAAATATTTAGAAGTGAGATAAAGATCACAAGTGTAATGTAGTATAGCACAGAACCAGATGTTTTCTATATTAATAATAATGCCACACTAAGCTAAATTCTTTGTGATTTTTTTTTATAGACAAGTTTCATCAAAAGGGAAGGGGAAAACCGGTATCCATTTCAGCTAAACAAGAGCATAGCCCAATAATAAGGTAGTGTTTTTAAATAGGACGTTTGTAATTATTTAATTCCTTTCTTTTGGGGGAAGAAAGGCTGCAAAGAGGGAAAGGGGCACTAATGTCAACTATTTTAAAAACTGTGCAAGATTGCTTAATGTCTTGGGATGAGAGGCTGTGTAATTACCTTCCGAACATCTCCTACAAGACTTGCACACCATTCACTTTAAGGACAGAGCTCTTCTTATGCAGAACTCCTATTAAATGCAGTGAAAGTTCAGTTGCACAGAAGGCTCATGTGATCAGGTTAAGTGCTACAGTGTTTGATATGATCCAGTCACTTTTGTGTCCTTCCTCCATTATAATACATGTAGTAATTTCCCAGGATTAATTCAAGTATAAGGTGCAAAGCTGAAAAATCCTGGTTCATCTTTAGAGAGGTTATGACAGCTCAAAGTTTGTCTGTTCAGTCTAAGAAAAGCACTAAATATTATCATGTGAGAGTAAAAAATTCAGATAATGAATTCTGATTTACGTTTTTGCAGGCCACCAGTCAATTCTGATGCACCAGTAAAAGAATGGCTCTTTCTTTGAAGCAATGAATTTCTCAAGGCAGTGTTCTTACATCATGATAGACATTGATGTATTCCATGTACACAGCATTGATTTGTCAGGGATTGCTGACTGAAGCACAGACTCTTAATAGGCTCTACTACTCCCATTGGAAAAAACCCACCAAAGAAATCTCAAAAAAATAACAATAAAAACAAACCAACAAAACCCTACTGCCAATAGCAGTTCTGTTTGCATTCCAGGAATTTATGCGGCTTTATATGTCATACTTGTATGTTTCTTATAAAGTTAACTAATCCTCTCTGGTTTAGATAAATTTTCTTATCAATATCAAGAGAGCCTAATAAAAAACCCACCTTATTTCCAAAAGAGCTGTTGGGCCAAGCAGAAATTAAGCTTCCAGACAAAGAAGAACCATTAATCTAGAACATCTGATGCTCCACTCCTGAATATTATGTTTAAACATTTACTTCAACACAAGCAAAACTGGAGTTATCTTCTGAAATATACAAGCTACAGGACATCTCACTTCGTTTCTTCTTATACATCTGTGACTTTGATGTCACGTAGTAGACAATGCTGTTAGTCTGGTATATACGTTGTAAATATCAGAATTTGGCCCAATTCGGAACCATGCCATAGACTTTTGATGAAAAATATCATCCTAAGTAAATCCATGCAGAGACTCTCACTCCTGAGAGCCAATCTACATTCCTGAACCCAACGTTCTGAAGACATCTTACTGTATAAGCATCTCAAGTTGACAATGAGTTCCCTAAATGTTTACACTTCCACTGATGAACGCAAGCAAAACCAATTGAAACATGATGATGCTAAGTCCTTCACTTTGCATGTCCACCTCTACGGGTAGCATTTGTCGGAGACAATCTAGCA